AAGGACTACGTTAATGATCAATACTATTTCAATCTCATGCAACCTCTCACATATGATGAATGGCTTGCTGTTCTTAGAACACTTCCCAATAATAAAGCAGCTGGTCCCTCTAGCATCACCAATGAAATGATTATTCACCTTGGAGACAAGCTTTAGCGACTTCTTTGGAAACTTATCTGCATATGCTTCACTATAGGTGACATCTCCAACGAATGAAAAATCGCTCACATATACCTTATTCCCAAAATCATAGAATAGGAATGTGATATAACCAAAACCAGACCCATTACACTACTCAAAACTGCACGTAAAGGTCTTGTTAAGATCATTAATAATAGACTCTCTCGAATATTAGCCAATCACAACATTCTTAAAGGAGGAAACTTCACTGGATTGCCAGGAGGTTCAACGGAATCACCTATAAAAATTATCAATATGCTATTAGAGGATGCTATCGAGAATAATAAAGAAATTTAGATTCTAATGCAAGACCTTTCTAAGGCTTATAATTGTGTAGATTTGTCTTACCTTCATCTCGCTCTAAACAGAATCAAAGTCCCTAAGTTAGCTACTGAACTCATCATAAACCTCTTTACTTTGAGAAGAAATGCTGTATTTACCACACAGGGAACTACTGACTTATACAATGTCAAGATAGATATTGACCAAGAAGAAGTTATTTCCCCTTTAGTATGATGTATCTACCTGGACCCCTTACTCTGCAAAGTAGGCTCCCTAAATAAAGGATATATAATTGATCATACTTGGATTTCTGACATCACCTCCATGAATACCAGCACTATATCAGCCTCTATTTTGTCACTTGCGTTCATAGACGATACAAACTGGGTGGCTAGTTCCAAACAAGATTTAGAAGAAATTTTACACATTGCAGATAAATTTTATAGTCTCACCAGATCTGCGCTCAACAAAGACAAATTGAAACTGTTGATGACCTGCTATGTTGATGTCCTCCCTGTTCCTATCAAATTTGGCTCAACCACTATCAATATTACCCCTGAAGAAGTGTCAATACAGTTCCTAGATGTATGGATTAATAGTCAAAGAACTCAATCGTTTGTCAAAAAGCAACTCATGTTTGATGTGAATCGTTTCGTCACCTCTATAAAATATAAACTATTAACAGACAAATAACTATCGTATATTATTAATATGATTTTGTACCTCCTGCTAGAATATCACATGCAGCTGACACCCCTTTCAAAAAATAAATGTCATAAAATTTTCGCTCCCATATGTTCACTTTTCAAACATAAAAATAAATTCGCCTTTACCCTTCCTAACAATCTTTTAAATTCTAAACAATTCTATAACTTAAGCGACCTCTGGTCATTACAAATCAAATCCCTTTCAACTGCTCTTATTTACCAATTTAATAACTCATCTCTTTATAAGAATATCTCTTTAATTCGACTTTACCAATTACAGTCAAACAATGTTTTTGCTACATCCCTTCAACAAATATTCATATAGAAACTTAATCAGTGCCCCCCTCTCCCTTATTAACTCTTCATCCTCAAAACTTTTTCTTAATGTTTCCCTGCTCCTCATGAATAAAATTAAGAGAAGCACCCAACCCATCACAAAAATCCTTTCTAGTAGTCTACTGAAATGATATAACAAGATTCTCACTAATCATAACTTATATTTCTAAATCAACTAATCTCTTTCTCAGATCGTCATTTAATTACTACTTCTGATTTTCTTCTTAGAGATTTTGACCATCAGTCAAAAAAATTTGGTTCATCTGATTTTTTCTATAGATTAGACAACATTGTTTTAAAAAGTCATGTATATAGATTGATCAAACCAGCATTCAGACTAGCTTTCACCTTACCATGTTCAAAACCATTTCTCAAGCCCTCACTTTAAATAGCCAAACGAAAGAAATAGTATCAACCTGGAACACAATGCTCAATGGTTCAACCTTTAGAAAAATTATAGTCGATGTCTCAAACAGTAGTTATCTCATCTGTTACCATTTCACCCACAACATCAACCATAATAATGTTTGTCAGCTTGTTAAATGCTTCAGTTGTTCTCTCAGCAGACAGACCGTTTCATCTGAACATTGCATCATCAATATCCCTAATGCCCTGGCCTACTTAGTTCAAACCATTCCTAAGCAATCACATACAGTCAAGAATCAACCTAAACAATCATTTAGGGAAATCTCTTGTATCACCAATATGATCTTTCACAGTTCATACAATGACCCCCTTCCAATAATTCTGCTCTTTGAGAACATCATTGATCTTCTTATTCAACCATCGATGCACTCACCTAAGCTTAAACAATTGCAATCCACATTCATTAGTATCACAGCCTTAACATTTTACACTGATGGCTCCTTAATAGGACCTCAGACGGACAACTGTAAAATGGGATTCAGTTGGATTTACTTACACCCTGACAATGGTCCATTTACCTTCAAAGCCTCACTCACAAATTGGCCCTCTTTCACATGAGCTGAAATGTATGCTCTCCTCACTACCCTCATAGTATCTCCAAACAACGCAGTGGTAAACGTCTACTTAGATAGCCAGGCAACAATTCATAGTTTTAACAAATACATACTCTCCAACCATCTTTCTTTGAGAAAGCTTAAAAAAGTTTCTAACTATATAATCTGGATTATTATTCGATACATCACTGATTACCTCAACATCCAAGTTTCATTTCACAAAATCAAAGCACACGCTAGAAATTATTACAATGAAATAGCAGATAGATTAGCTAAGGATGGATGCAATACATCTCCTCTATCCTTACTACTTAATAATGTCTCCTCATCAGATCTCTCATTTTGCTTTAATAATATTCCTATTGAGGTCTCTATTAAAGGTTTTCTCAAGCAACTCTTTGCAGCATAAGCATTTGGCAACTTTCTGGATTTGAACAGGAATGATAAACTCAAAGTACTCACAGTCAATAAATTTATCAATTGGTTTGCCATCTGGAATCTTTTTTCGATGAACACCTCTTCTCTCTCCACATCTTTTGCTTCATGTAAGCTCAAATCATTCATAATTAAAAACTTCATCGACGAACTTCCTTCACTATTACGCCTCACATTATTATGACCTGACTTATATGAACACTGGCCTTGTGTGAGTTGCAACGTTGCTACTAAAACCACTTTCCATATTTAGACATGTTTAGTGTATTTCTCGAAAATTATGGACATGATCTCGGCTACCAAAAATAATCTTATTGACCAGCTAAGCTTTTCATACAGAGCCAGATACACAGCGTACCAAACTGAACTAGAGGATGTATTCAACAACATCTTCGCATCACCTTCAAATGCTTCTAATGGCTATACAGACATTATTCAATCCAAAATTTCGTCTTCCCTGATAAATATTGTTCACAAAATAGCTGGCAATAAAGAGTGATGCCTCTCCATCATTTCACGCTTGCTATTCCTCTTCTACCAAAAGCTATACTATGACGTCTGAAAATACCGTTGTAACTTATTAATCATCAAAGAGCGTTTAATGAATATTACTAAACAAGACAAGCATAAACGAAGTGCTAGTTCACTCCTACCTCACGGACAGACATCAAGCCCTCTTTTAACTGAGAAACTTGGATACATCTTGCAAACAAATTTGACTATACGTTCTCAGATTTTTAGATAGGCACTGACATCTTCTTTTTCTTTTCTTGCTAATGTTAATTTTCATTAAGTATGCATTTAGTGGAGTTAATAGAGGGGAAAGACGATGATAGGTCGATTCAAACAGATTTGATATATAACTACGAGGGATAGCTAGTACTTAGCGTAGATTTATTTTTGATTTACTTTGTATTTCCTTATATATAAATTTAATAAAGTTACTGACAGTGCCACATTGTTAAAAAAAAAAAAATAGGTCAATTATTAGTTTTTTCTAATAATGAAAAAATAGTTAATAGTCACAAAAATAATTAATTTTTTGATTATCATTTTAATTCTGAAATTTCTTTATGTAAAAACACTTATCTTAAACTTGTTGAAATTTTAGATAGCATTTTAAGAGCAGTTAGAAATTATTTATTAACTGAAGGATTAATAGAACGTTAACATAGAAATATAAAAAATCTTCCTAAAGTAACATTACAAGTTACAATCAATCAAAAATTATCAACTGAAATTTATAATTTTATTATTAATTATGCAAATTTTTATGGATTTCCCTCACCAGGCTGTTATATGCAAACTGATTCTTTGGTAGTTATTTTATTACCCACTGAAAAAAGCTATGCTAGTATATATGAAGATTTTGCAGTTAGTAAAGAATTAGATAATGGCACTTCAATTATATTATATAAAAGTTTTGTTCAACTTTAAAAAATCTCACATCACATATTAAATTTATGACACTTGATATAGATTTATGTGATAAATGTGAAATATTAAAAAAAAATATTCAATATGCAAAAAATATTGATGAAAAAAATGAAGTAGCATTGGATTTGAAAAATCATCAAGATAAAGCAAAGAAGGAGTTGAGTGTCAATATTATAATAATAATATTATAACTAGTAATACATCTAAAGAAATAGCTTATATTTGTTATGATTGGACACAGAATGTTCCTATTCCTTTTTTACTATAGCAAGTTAGACAAATTTATTTTAAAATAGCATTTGCGATACATATTTTTAGAGTATGTAATATAAAAGAAAAGTAACAACTAAATTATTTAATTAGTGAAGATGAATTTTCGAATAGTTCTACAGAAAAAGGAACTAATACAACTATTAGTCTTATATTTAATGCTTTAAACAAACTTTATCAAAGAGAACAGCATTTAAAAGTCATTTGTGATAATTATACAGCTCAAAACAAAAACAACCTCTCTTTATTTTTTTGGTCTTGATTAATAATAATAGTAAAGGATGAAACTATTGAAGTTAATTTTATAGTTTTAGAGTATACAAAATTTTTATTAAATAGATATTTTGGTAATATTAAAGCTCTTTTTTGAAAAATGCAAGTTAATACAGTAAATGATATTGAAAAGGTAGTAAAAAAGTCTATTAAAAATAATTCTAATCATGCTATTCATTATAATAATAGAAATGGATAGTTATATTATGATTTTGAATCATTTTTAAAACCTCATTTTCAAAATTTACCTGGTATTCAAAAATATCAATATTTTTGGTTTAAAAGAAGTGAACCAGAAAAAATATTTACTCAAAAAGAAGCAGAAGGAGAATTTCAATATTTTGATATTTTTAAAAACAAATATTTCAATGTTTGGGCTCTAATAGCTATATTTTTTTCTAAACCTTTATTATTAGCACATTAAGAATATTTGTATAAAAATATTCAAAAATTCGTTGATGAACTATTTCAGAATATCATATATTCTAAACCAATAATTAGATAGATTATTTTTTTTAAAAAAAAAAAGTAAAAATAAAATAAAATTTATGATTTTTATAAGCTTTTCTAGTACTATTCCAAAAACTCTATATAATAAAATCATTTGAAGTTTCAGAATCAGAGTAGTAAATAATCATTGCAATGATAATGTCAGAAAAAAAGTGACAAAAGTTTGAAATAAGATAGAAGCATATGCATACAATAAAATTGTATCAAATCCTAGATTATACTAGTTCAAGGTCTAAATAATAAGTGTGTGAAATTTAAGATCGAACAGATAGAAATTGGAAAAGATAGATCAAAATACTCAAAATATATTATTCGTGAATTTACTAAGTAAATTTTCAGACTAACTGATAATCGTCTTGATCGTTTCCTTAAATATAAGTATTCTAATTTTAGATTGATTGATTTTTTTAGTGACAAAAATTTCAATTGAAATAAATCAATAATTTATTATACTTGTATAACGTAAAAAATCAAATTTTGTATAATTGAATATGTCTAGTTTATGTTTATCAAAAAAAATTTTTTTTGACAGGGGTCTCAAAAGTACATTTTGTTAATTCATAACCCATATATTAAATTATAATTGCTACGCAAGTACACATTGTCATTACTGTTACTACTATAAACTTATGTAATTTTTTTAATGCATATTATTTATATGATATAATCTCCTTATGAATAATTATGATCTATATAAATATTACCAAATTTGGACTGTCTAAAGTAGAATAGTCACGTGATATTATTACATAATTGTAAGAATAATTGTGATTGGTCTGTTGGATATTAATAGTGATTTATTAGGGTAATAGTTGATTTGTTATATAAAACTAGCAAAATTAACTGTTTATATTTTTTAAAAAAAAAGTAAAATTAGGTGATCGATTACTAAATGCAATCAAAAAAAAAGTAAAAAAATTTTTTTTTCATTATTTTAATTTATTGAATTGCAAAATAATTGAATTTACATATGTGTCTAATATAGAAATAAAAGTTTCTATCCTCTCAGCATTACCTATCTCTTCAACATTCCAATATCTATCACGGATCTTTACAGTTAATTTAGTTATAATAAGTCTCTGATTTTCAATTTCTTTTTATTGTTCTGTTTATACAAATTCTATTATTAACTCACAATCTTCATATACTTCATAACCACTTTCTTCAAATATTCTTTGAAACATTTTCCAAACATTTGTAATTAGTAATTTCACGTTGCCATACATATGTTTATGAAAAAAGTGCTTACATAGCAATAAGTATCGATTGTAAAACAAGCAGTAATAATCAAGCGAAGTTAGGCTATCCTTATATAATAAATAAATCATGTATCATTTACATCATTTTGTATCATTTGTGAAGCATCCTGACAAAGTATAATTGTGAAAAAAGAGTTTAAACTGATTATAATGCCATGTTCCATCACATAAAAATATGTTAACAATGTAATCATAGCAAATAACTTATTCTTTATTACTTTATTACACTTTCATTTAATCTTAACAATAATTCACTAATAATTTTATATTAGAATTATTGAAGAACAAATATTTTAGAAACAAAAAGATCAAGCATCCAATTAAATCCTAAGTAAAGAAGTTTTCATTAATATTATTTATGATTTTAAATTCAAATAAAAACTAAAAAATTTTTATATATATATTAATCCCTTGTCATACTAAATGTCCCTCATGATTATTTTTATACTAATTTTTTACTTATTTTCTGATCTCATATAGACAGCCAGAAAATTACTAATTTTATAAAAATAATTTAAAAAATAATAATAGCTTAATAATTTGTATTAAAACTAAATGACGTTCTTTATTTAAATTTTATTTGATTAATATTTAACTAATATTTTCATTATATATTATAAAATATAATTTCTAATAAAAATATTAATCGCATTTAAAAGTAATATTATTACTATAATTTTCTACAGAAATTTTTGAAATTTTTGATTTTTGACACGTTAAAACATTATCTAACTCATTTTTTTTAACAAAGTTAGTATTATTATATCATTTAATTAGATCAGATACCTTAGAAAATCCTAAAAAAATTATAGTTAATACTAAACAATAAAATTAATAATTTCAATAAATGTTTGTTTACATACTGAATTGATTTGTTGAATCCTTTAATGCCACATCTTTAATAGGAATTAAAAGAGAAGTATTATTTTATTTACGCTTTATAGATTGATGCTGATAGGTGAATACTCTTGCAATTGTTTTATGTCTTGAAAAATTTATCTGCTCATCAGTGTAACACTAGATTTAACAAAATTGTAAATACCTGTTGATCTTATTGAATAATTAGTAATGTTATGTTCTTTAAAATCTAAACTAGAATCAAAATATATACTATGCATCATCATATTATGTGATCCTTTTCCTAACTTTATTATTAAATACCAATTACCATTATATATATTTTTTAGCATATTGATTGATACAAAGAAATAATCATCCTCATATTATTAAGATATTTATTTAAGAATTTTTGGATATCTGCAACAGAGTATAAATTTTTTCTGAAGTATTAGATAGTATAAAACTTGTATCAAATGCTGCATATGGATCTTTAATTTCTCCTGCATAATTCTCTTCCTTAAGTAATTTAAGCTTTATTTCACTATTATCCATTTTAATAATCTAAGAAACTTTTAATCGTTTAGCATCACCACCTTTTAAATAGCATAATAAAGTTAATCAGATTTAAATCCTTCATAAAAGACATTTATAAGTATCTGTTTTAGTAACAGATGAGTTAAGTATAAATTTGATTTCATTAATTTTTAAAGGAATCTGATTGTTTTCGATTATTTTGTCCTTGATTAACAATTGATTTTATATAACCATTCAAAGTTTTATGTAAACTTTTAAATTGAGAAGTATCAAATAAGTTCATATTTCTAATTTTCTCAGATATTTTAGAAATTCCTCTTGCTAATGCATAAAATCCAGTATATAGTAATAATGCTTTATATTTTTGACCATTAGATTTTCTTACTTTTACTAAAAATTGTTCTAACTGTTTAGATAATATTTTATTATCCAATTTAACAATTTCATTTAAATAACAATAGGCTTTATAAAACTTAATAAATAAACTTATTCACATATTATTAGATTTGTCTGTATTTATATTTCTTGATATATTCTGAAATTTTAAAATTATTTCTTTAGTTGATGAAATAAATCATATTGTCATTAATAATATAAAAGAAAAATAAGTTAAATAATATATAATAGAAGAAAAATTTTAAAGAAAAAAAATGAAGTGTAGGAAAAGATAATGATAAAAAAAAAGTTTTAAATCATTAAAAAAAGTTAAATCATTAAAAAAGGTTAATTCGCTAATATATATATAATCACGTATTATGTTTAATAAATGACACACTTCTGGAAATTATCCATTTATTTCATAAGATTAGGAATATCATGATTTTTTCCTAAAGAGAAAAAATTATAATATTTCTAACCTCTCATAAAATAAATAATACAAATAATTAGATTGGATAAATAGATAAATTAACTGTTTGTAAACATTCTTCTGCTAAAAAATTTTAAATCTATAATTAATATTAGTAATACAATTTTAAAAAATTACATAATACCTTATTTTTTTAAAAAATACTAAAAGAAAGATAACAGTAAGAAGGATTTATAAGATTATTTCTATTTGTAAAAGAGGTACAATATATTGATTATTATTATATTTTATACTTTATACAATATCATTAAATATTATGACTATTATAAAACTATTTGTAAAGAAACTGCTTATAAGTATATTTTTATTATTATTAATGGTAATGGAAATGAAGTTAAAAAAAATTAAAAAAAATTGTGTCTTATTTAGTTTTTTATATATATTGTGCTAATCAAGTTAAGTTTTAGAAGCTTACTATTATTAGCTATCATTATTGATAAGTTCTATATAAAAATAATTATCATACTAATATTCTAATACTAACATCTATTAAAAAGCGTGTTATTCATAATTTTTATGATCTGATACATTTATCAACACTTATCTATTTCAAATAAGCATGTTCATATTTTTTTGATTTTCTTTTTTTTTTTTTTTTTTTTTTTTTTTAAAGTGCGGTAGTTCCACATAATCTTTATTATAATAAAAGTATAATAATATGAAGTAAAATACAAATCAAGAAGAAAAATAAAAATCTCGTACAGCAAAGAAAAACTAAATTATAGAAGACTGACCCTGCACTCCTCCAGATCAATTCTAACCTAAGCTAAAACTATCACTTCTGAGTATAACCGAAAAGTAAAACAGGAGAGGGCTTGGCTACTACTGCACTAAAAATTTGTCCAGTGGGATCCAAGTTGCACCATGGCATTTATTAGATCAGCGTGTAGGTTGTTAGTAGAAATACCGTGAGGAAGATCAAAACCTGAAGAAATGAAGTTATCAATTTTATTTTTTAGGTTAATGTTTGCAGC